ATACTTAAAAAGAAAAATTGAGGGGGGGCCATGGACTCCCCTGGGCCTCATTTAAATCCGTTGACCATAAGCTTCCAAAATCAAAATTTTCCATGATCAAATGCTTTTAATAAAACATCCACGAGACAGATCAAGACATGCAACAAAATCCACACTTTGGTCTATTTTGGACCCAAGTACAAACCCAAACACTCATCATTTATTCTTAATTTAATTTTTCTTTTAATAAATAAATATATTAGAGCATTTTTATTGGTTGACATGTATGTTAGACCTAGTACGTTTATTTTTGCATTACAAAGTTTTTAAGTTTTTTACTTGAGTTTGTCCATGTCATTTAAGACCCAAGTCCAATCATTTAATCACAATTTATACTCTCCAATTACTTTTTCATTGCAACCTGTTTGTAGGCACTAATATCTCTCTTCGATTCTTCTCCAAACTAGTATTTGACCATGTGCATTTACACAAATGTAAACTGTGTATTATAAGTTACATTTATGCATATAATATTAGAATTATAAGTTAGATAATGGTATTATGTTTTAAAATTTGATCACTGGTTAAAATAAATAGTACATAACTATTTATTCCATATGAATCACTATATTAATTGCATAAAATATAATAAATAATGTAATATTTGTATTTTGAGAGATCAAGACCAGTTAATTAGCTGAAAAATATTAAATTTATTATACCAATTGCTTATGCAATTTTAAAAATACAATTGTTGATAAAAAAAAAATATAATAGTGATTTTAGAATAAATAACTTGAACAAAAAGTTTATAATAAATTTTTTATGTTTATGTAACTTTCATATATCATTTTGTGTAAATTATAATTATTTATTTTAATAATAACTATTATATGATACAATAAAATAATATAATTATTATTTAGTTAATATAAAAATATAATGATTTTTGTCTTAATTAACCTTAAAAAAGTACAATAAAATATTTTATCATTAATTAGATTAATGTAATAATAATAATAATAATAATAACAACAACAACAACAACATTGAATTTTAATGTAAAAAGACGGTAAACAACAAATAATTTTATTAGATTTTATGTTACTTATTATATATAGAGAGAGATATAAGTGATAAAAATTGATTGTAAATGGTTTTTGGCGGGAAAGTTATGAGCTTTTATTAAATAGGTTTTATTAAATGATCTGCCAGCAATTATATATATATATATATATATATATATAGATTTTTTTTTTCTCTCTGCGCTTAAACCTAATTTTTTCGGTTCACTTGCCGCGGGGATCCTTGATGGCGGTCGGTTCCTAGCAATGCGATTCGGCCCCAATTTGATGACGAGGCTTGTCCTTTTGCGCGGGGGAGTTTGGTGGCCGTTCTTGAGTGGATCTCACTCCTTTCCTGATTTCCATCTTGGGTCGAAGGTTTTCGGAATCCATGGCGTCGAGGCGGCAGCGGGCTTCAGTGTTGTTGCGGGGGAGAGTTGTGGCTTCGTCTACCTTGTGTAAGTGGTCGGGGCAGAGGTTGACGTGCGATCCCCCTTGTCCCCTTCTCTCCTGGTGTTCGGGAAAAAGGGACGACCGACATGTCGGGCCCTGACTCGTGGTGTGGGTTGTGTTCAGAACGGTGGTGGTGTGGTGGGAGTTTTGCTCGTTTGCCTCCGACTAAGGGGTTGGGGTTGGCCGCCTGAGCGCGGGGTCGGAGTCTTGGTTTCAGTTCCAGTTAGCATGTGCTGCAGTTTCTAGTGTTGAAATTGGAGTTGTAGTCTGGTCCGTTAAGGTGCTCGGTTGTGTGTGTTGCTGTCGTGTTTCGCTTGTTGCGGTAGTCTAGTTGAGGGAAGACTTTATTCTATGTTTATTCTGTTGGCATTTTTGTGATTTTTCTGTGTTTTTATGTATTTTTTGGGTGTTATTATTATCTTTTTGGGATCTATAATCTCATGTTTGGAGTTAGGTTTTATCGTGGGTGCATTGTGGTGTTTAGGCTCCCTTCGAGGATCTCCTCTCACTTGTTCGACTTCTGGCCGATTTCTAGTTATAATATGGATTTTTAGTGGTAAAAAAGAACATATCTCCATTTAAAACATTCTCCTACATTTGTTGAATCTATACTTATATAATAAAAATTAACCTTTTTCAAAATTAGTAGGTAAATTCTTAGTCAACATCCTGTCTGCATTAAATGTTTACTAAAATTAGTAACTTTTATGTCCTTTTCACACTTTCTTTTTTTTTTATCTCCTTTTCACACTAGATTATATAAATGAACGGATATTATCTCACCTTTCATTAATCTCACCTATAATTCATGTGAATTGATTGATTGCCTTTAACTTTTCAAAACGTGTGCTATCCATTGTTTATTACTATTATTATTATAGTATGCATGTAATCAGTTGATTAAATAAATTATATATTATTATTATTATACTCACCACGTGACAGTTAATTAAAATATATCTATACTTATATTAAAAGGTATACCATTTACCAGATTTAATATAAAGAAAAGTCAACAACATTTATTGTATTATTATTTCCGTATTATACAATCTATACTTATATAAAAAGAGATTCTATTTACTATATTTACTATCCAGAAAAGTCAACTGCATTAAATGTCATTACTATTTTGGTATTATAATATTTTATTTATTTGATTGTTTTATTTATTTGTTTTATTTTAAAAAGGTAAGTATAATAAAAAGATTTTAATAATAAAAAAATCAAATACCAAATAAAAATGTACACTTTGACTTATTTGATTATATTTGGTATTTGATTATACAAAATATATTCCTATTTAGTATATACATTAAATACTTACTAAAGTATTTGTTTGTTTTATTTGTCAAAGTTAAGTATAGATTTGTTTATATTATCAAATCATAAAAAAATATTAAATCCATATTGTAAAAAAAAAAAAAAATCATATAATTTTATAACAATTCTACTACACTATTTAACAATATTCCTTTTTTATTATATAATAAAATAATAATTAAATATTATATGGTGAACAACAATAAGTAAAACTGTTACTTTCTCTTATATCAAGGGATAAATTTATATGCTAAAATTAAATTTTTATTAGTATAAATGTTTTAGTGAGATAATATATTAATTATTTTACAAGCTAGCCCTAACATGCTCATATTTAATGTTTTAAAAGATGTAGAAAAAAAACTTATAATAACTCTATTGTTTTTTAGACTTAAACGTTGATTAAAAGAGGTAAAAATTCCTAATTTTTTAGACTTAAACGTTGATTAACACCATAGATTGAGAGTTTATATTTAGTAAAATTCCTAATTGTAATAAAAAAATTAATTTTTGCTATATTTTAGAATATCTTTAAATTCATTATATAAAAATAAAAAATAAAAAAAAAACTACAATGAAAAAAGCAAGTCAGTTATATATCGATTTGTTGTACTCCTCAAATCACATTCACAATTTGGCTACAATGAAAGGAAACTCATTGATTAAAATATTATTTTGTCAGTAGTCTTAATGTACAAGAGACTTTAAGACTCCACTTGAATATTATACAACTTTTATTGAACATTGTATAATTTTCTTGCGTATTATAAACTTTTATTGAATATTGCATCCTATAATATAATATTCTCTAAATAAATATATCTCGTGCTTTGCACAGGTCACGTACTATATATATTCCGTACATCTTTCTTTATTCATGTATATAATTATAAGCCTGGATAAATAGCCTTAAAAATGTACATCCCGTGCATCGCACGGGCTCTGTACTAGTCATTTAAATGCAAATATATGAGACTTATTATCTACACATTCGATATTATTTTTATATTCTATTATTAAAATATTAAATTAGATAATTAAAAAAAAAAGGCAACAATTGCCCATTCAATGGTATAAATGGTTGAGAGGGAGCCCACATCAAAAGGAGGAGTGTGTATGCCCTTTTAGAGTTGCAAATTTAAATATAAAAAAATTAAATATAGTAATTATTAATTGTATATATATATAATTTTATTTCAAATGCAAAGACAATTTGGCTAGCTCAGTAATACTTGGGCCAGAGGGCCAGCACTAGCTAAAAAGAGAAACCCTACGGCTCGAACGTTCAACTGCTAGTTTGAGCTGACACGTTTAATATGGTGTTTTAGATAATATCTATAATTATCATAACCTGTATATTATATGTTTCGAATGTAATTATCATAAGCAGCAGTGGCCAAACTCTTTAATGTCTTTGTTTAGTCAAGATACTGCAGAACGGCAGCAGCACCAGTGGACAGCATTTTTAAGTACATAAGGTTTATATACAAATTTCAAAGCTGAACACAACAAAACAAAGCTTCACACACAGCATGGAATGCAAAACAACTTAAACTTCATACATAATAAACGCTCGGTTTATATATAAACACACAAACAATGCCCCAGTTAATACAGTGATTTTTACTTAAAATCAACTGAAAAAATGTAAGGAAAATCACTTCAGTCTGCTAGAAGAAGGGTTCTTGCCGGAGGAAACAAAGCAACAGCACTTCTCTCCGGTTTTGAGTACTTCCTTGAAACTGCTTTCAGCTTATTTTCTGCAAGCCCCGAATGGAACCCCGCCAGCAACTTCGCACACTCCCTGTTAACAAGATAACAAAAAATCATTCAATCAAAATCCCAAAAAAAAAAAAAAAAAAAAAAATGCCAAAAATTAAAAGAAGTGCAAATTTAGCTCAAAAACATACATAAGCTGATCTTCAGAGTAGCCCGTGTGGTGCTTCAAGGTTTGAGTCCAAGAAGGGGTCCTATTGAGCGTGCAACGTGCAGCATACACGGCACTAGCAGCAAGCATAGAAGGGCTGTAGCTTATGATGGTCACATAATTTGTTAACCCAAGCTCAGCAAAGAAATATGTCATGTTCTCCATCTGCACACACACATCCAACAAAATAAGATAAAATAAAATTATTGCACAAAAGCTGGATTAAAAGCTTCTAATCATAATATGTATGAGTAACCGACCTCGTTATCAGCTGGGATAGAAGCCTTGATGTACCGAACCAGAAAGACGTATGGAGTTGGAACTGTTAGGTACCACTCGAGTTTCCCAAGAATCGCTTTTTCCATGAGAAGCACTTGCTCTCTCACGTAAGCATTGTCTGATATAGCTATGAAATCGCTCACCTAAACACACACACGAATTAAGGGATTTCAAATTTCACAACAAACAGAGAAAGTAATAGTTTCAAAGTGTTTTTAACATCATAATATGTTTACACACAGACATATTATACCTCGGGTGCCCATATCTCTTCATACTTGCATGCAACTAGCATTGAGCTAATGCCCACCAACTGAAGCTCCCTCCTTGGGACGGCTTTAACGGAAAGAAACCGATCCACGATGTTGATCGTAAGGTAAAGGCTCTCTGGCATCAGTTCAAACTTCTTGTGGACTTCAACAAGCCAGTCCACAAGAATGGCCCTCATCTTTGAGTTTATTTCTTTCTGTGAATTCATGTAGTCGCGAACCCGGCCATCATCCTGAAATAGTCGTCCAATTCACAAGAATGCAAAAGAACAGCAAGGATTAAAACAAATCAAACAGAATACTACTACCTCAGCAAGCTTGTAGAATTTGTAGATATCCTCCACATACTCGACTGCCGCCAGCTCGTTGTCCATGTCAGCAGCGTCAATATCCACTATCAGATCCTTAGGCCTCTTCGTAATTCCACAAGCAACCTAGCAAATTCAGGACAGCATCAACATTCTGAGTATACACTACACAGATGTGGATATAATGCACTATAGTACTTGAATTAATTTTATAAAGAACAAATTTTTAGATTTTAAAGAAACCTTGCTACGAGCCGTGAGGATTGAGGTGAGAGTCTTGTTGTGCTTCTTAGATGATCCTTCCCTCACTTTTTCACCACTTTTGTAGCCTTTTTCTTTTGGGGGACTACTAACAACCATGGCTTCATTAGTCTTCATCTTCAGAGGTTCCTTCTTATCAGGAACAGCCGCTTTTGCAGCCCCATCTTTTCCAACCAGCACATTTGCATTCTCGGCTAATGGCTTCTGCACAGTTATAAGGATGAAAATAGTTCTGTTAATGCATCCTATTCACAGTATTTAATATGAATGAAAATACAAATACACACACATAATCAATCTTGGGGGAAAGGAAAAGAAAGTTGTCAGTAAAATCACAAGACTCCTTTGTTATACCTTAATATGAAAGAAAATACAAATACACACAGGTAATCAATCTTGGGGGAAAGAAAAAGACGAAAGTTGGCAGTTAAATCACAAGATTCCTTTTTTATACCTTGAAGTTGTTCTTCTCAGCGGCTGCTTGGGCATTTGCCAACAACTGTGCGCCAAAACTCCTACAAAAATACAAGAATGCTCAGTTCTTTCTGCTAATTACATGTCTTTATTTAAAAAGGCCAAAAAACATATATTTTGTATGTGTGTGGACTGTGGAGATAGAGAAGAACCTAGTAATGGGGCGAGTGATCTGATTTTGATGCTTCAACTCAACAGCAGGAGCTGCAGCCACCATGTTCCCAATGTCTCGCAAAACTCTCCTATTTCTGCCTTCAGCCTGTGCTCCATTCTTCTGCTTCCCTTCAACTGTCAAGATATAATAGATGAATTACAGACTAAAATCGATGACCCAGTTGGAAACCAAACCCAAGAATTTCTATTTAAATCTCGTATGAGTACATCTATACTATATACAGTATCAAGAGAGTGAATCAATCAATCAGAGACCTTGGGGAGGAATTCAGCATCAAGATTCAAGATCATCCTTTGGACAATCTATACGGTGATGAGATTCAAAGTAGCATCAAAGTACCTTCAAAGATTATCTAATCTAGATTCTAGAATCCTCTTGTATAAGACCAAACAACAAAAACACATACACCAAGAAAATTCCAGAACGAACACAAAAAGAACCGTTGCAGCAATGAACATGAGGAGAAAACATGGAATCCGACATACCAATCATAAACAGATGGGCTGAAAAAAAGAATAACATCTGAAATACTAAACCTGTTGACATATCATTGTTAAATTACAGAAACAAGAAAACCCAACAGTTCCTTCCTCAACATTATCCCATAATCCATCATTACAAGAAACAAAACCAAAGAATTTCAGATGAAAAATCCCATAGAAAGTCTACATATATTCAGGTGATAAACCCAGAAACACAATTCATGATTCACAGCAACAAACCCATAAAATTCTACGAAAAAATATCATATAATCCACAAAGATAACAACTTTTGAGAAGAAGAATTAATATCATCAATTAATCCGAAAAAAATATAAAAAGTATACCTCTTGGTTGCTCTGGAGCTGTAACTCTCGTAGCCATCTCTAAGTCTTGATAGTTGCAATCGTCACCAAAAATCCCTCCAAAACTCGGCCCGAATGTCTTCCTTCGGCTCCGATTGCCAAAACCCAGAGGCAGTACTTGTTTCTCTATCTCTCTCTAGTACCTCTTTCTCTCTCTAAACGACTGTATTTTTCCCTTGAGAAAATAATGATGAGGAGAAGATGGGTTGAGGCGCAGAGAAAGGTATATGAAGTAGAGGGACGCCTCTTCACAATTAACGGTCATATTCTCATATTTAATCGGGGACCATTGGATTCGCTGATGAATGGACGGTCCAGATCGGGTCCTCGGATGCTCCATTAAGCCTTGTGGATTGTGGATTAACTAGCCGTTAGGAAGGAGAATAGCGGCGCCTCTTGCTTTGCACAGATCAATTACCTTTTTTATTTGTTTTACTTTTCTTCTTCCATAATTAGAAAATTCTTGACCCCCTTTTCTTTTTTCTTTTTTTCTTTTTTTGCAGATTTTTAATCTTAATTTTATCATTTTCATGCTCACAATTTAAAAGGAATTTATTTACTTATTTGTTAGTTTACCATCTTTTTCTATGATTTATCTTTTTTTTATACTTAATTAAATATATGATCATTATTATGACATTCCTCATTAGAGATTGACTAAATGATATATATATATATATATATATATATATATATATATATATATATATATATCCAATGACTTATACTTACCGATATATATACCGTTGAGTTATTTTACACATCAAATTTCTCGTCTTATATAAAAAAATCGACAAGGCCTAATAAAGCTAAAGTCAAATAAATTTGACAAAAATTCGTCCAAAATCCGCTCAAATTTGGAAGATCGCTAAATAACGAAGGTTGAGTTTTTATTTTTAAAATTCATGAATACCGAATATGGTCATTCTAATTTTCTATACTTTTTAACATGTTTCGTACGTATCTAACTCTAAAATATTTTTTAACATCGTGACATGAGACAGTCTCATTCTAAAATATTTTTTGGCAGGACTTTCTTTATCTGAAGGCTCGGATATTTGTTAGGGTGTAGGGCTTTTGCAAAAGATCATGGAGCAGGAGGTTACGAAAAAATACAAAAGTCTGTTTTATCCGAAAGGAAGAGCAACAAGTCACCTTATCGAAAGAGGACATTTCTCTGGGCTTGAACAAATGTCAACTCAGTTTGATATGGTGAAAAAAAAAGGCCAATTTTGGTGGAGGGAACATGGGATTAATTGTAATACTAGGAGTAATCAGCTTCAAGCAAAAATCTTACAAAATCATTAAGATTTAGTGGAGGTTGATATGTAGCTTGCTACTATAAGAGAAAGAAATGGTCAAAGAAGAAAAAGACTTTTGCTAGAAAACCTAAGATATGTAAGGATGAGAAATTTCCTAAAATAACAGAAATTTTATTTTGTTAGAAACCTTTCCTAATCTTTTAAGGCATGTAGTATATATTTTTCCCTCAAGGGCATTAGGATTAGCATAAATTCTCCTATAATAACTCATTTATTCTTTGTTGATGGTTCCTTTCTTTTATGTCAAAGCTGGTGTGAAACATGCTCGTTTGATTTTGAACATTTTGTCATAGTGTGGTTTTTGTTCGCAAAATATTTTCACAATCCGCAAGTCAAGTGTACAGTGTAGCTATAGTAAGCGGCGAGCAAGGTCGTATTCTACAGAGATTGTTGTTAAAATAATTAAGTATCAAAATATAGACAATTAAATATTTTTTAAAGTAACTCAAATTGGAATGGTGAATTAATTCTAAACCAATGAATGATTGCAAAATAAATTCTAACACTAATGAAGGCTTGTTCTAAAATAAATCAAGAATGAAAAAATAGATTCTAGACTAAGTTTTTCTTAGAATCGTTCTAGCAAATATTTTTTATTCATTTAATCTTTATTTAATTCTACCAATCGTAGGGATAATCACTAAAGTAATTTAACATCTCTCTCGAGCAAGCTAAATCGTTGATTAAATACTATCTATGAACAATTAACTCCGTTAGTTCCTAAGATTCTAGTTCTCTCGCAAGATTCAATCAACCTCTCGGCCTGTTTAGTTTCTTACTTTATGAATTTCCCAATTTTAGCAATCAACTATCTCATCTTGGTTTCAAGTCAATCACAAATATTCATAAACTATTTGACATGTGCATTTGCACAGATATAAATAAATTATTGTGAGTCTGTACATATAATGATTAATTATTTTTCTTTCACTTTTTTGCAGACCAAATTTACAATTAAAAGAGTTGGAATATTTTTTTTTTTAAATTGCGTTTATCTGATTGGATGTAATGTATATTTTGGTACGTCTTATTTATGAATTATTTATTATTTATTTAGGAATTTCAAATATATTTTTTATTTTAAAAAAAAAATTAAATGTAACAACAATAATAACATCTAATCACATTATATGGTCAACACATTATATGGTCAACTGTCATTAATCAAAAGTTTAAAATGATTTTTGTAATTTTGAAGTGATGAGTATTAATTATTTAATGATTAAATGAAAGATTAATACATTAAAATGTAACGGTTTTTGGAGGGAAAATTGTTAAATTGTCACATAGGTAAAATTAAATAGGTTTTATTAAATTCTATTAGCTAGTAATTATATATATATAGATACGGACCCTATATTCACACAATTAATATAAGCACAAGAAATTGATAAACGAAAAATAGACCAGGATGAATAAATAAAATTACTTCATAAAATAATCCGAGTACTCACGAATCCTACAATCTCTAAAAGATTTAGCTACTAAACATGTTCTCAAATATCCAAATAAATAAATACTTGAGTGCAATGAAGAAGAAAAAGAGAAAAGAAAGAAAAACTATTCTCGCTGTTAGTTCCCGAATCTTCACTCTTAACTCCTTCATCCCTCGTGCGTTCTGTGCTTTTTCTCGATCTACAAAAGTGTCAAAAGTCCCAAAACTGAGTTCTCCAAGTTCCTTTTATACTGTAGGGCAATTATGAGTAAAAAAAGAAAGAAATCGCATCAGAATCCTAGTCCCCGCTTATTTAATCTGAGCGTCACATGACTCGTGTCATATAGTCACACGGTCGTGTGGCTTTTCTCTAATTTTCGCGAAACTCTCAGGCTCACACAACTAGTCACACGACTCGTGTGAGTCCACACGACCCGTGTCACCATGCCACACAACCCGTGTGAAAAAGCTATAACAAAACTCTTATTTCCTTATCTACATGACTCATGTCACTAACCCACACGAGTTGTGTGTCCTCGACTGCACCTCGTTTTCGTCGTTCTTTGTCCCTACTCCATTTTTAACACTTTTTCAGGTATATTTCCTGCAAAACTAACGACAAAGTACCTCTATCATAGATTAATAAGAAAAATGGTGTGTAATCCAACGACACAGCCAAATATCATAATATATCACTCGTAATGCATGAAAATATGATGAATGTCAGTTTTGCTTCCGGTTAGTTAGTCAACCTAGATAAGTCTTGAATCTTCTTCTCTAAAAACACTCCGGATAGAACCAAGACTGAAATGTGCAGTGTACTTAAAAGAATCTCTAGTGTCAGGCCAACTAAATACTTAGGTCTTCTTTTGGGATAGGGAGAACTAAAAGAGACACTTTCAAATTTGTGTGCGAGTTTGTTCTTAGGATAACTAGTTGGACAAATAATTATCTGAGTGAAGCATGGCGAGAAGTTCTCATCCAAATAGTCACTGGAGCTCTTCCACTTATGTCTTGTATTATTTTAAAATTATTTTCAGTTTGTAACGATATTTGTAAAGAGACTGTAGGTTTTGATGGGGTAAGAATGAAGAAGGTAAGACATAAAAATACCCTAGGGCAGCACGGATAAGTTAGCAAGACCCAAGGGTAGGGGAGGGTTAAGGAACCTTAGAGCTTTTAATGAAGCTTTAAAAATTAAACAACTTTGGAGGATTATTACGTAGCTCAATCTTTTGATGAGTAAAGTAATGAAATGTAGATATCTTTTCAAAAAGCCAAAAATGATTATTCTTAGTTATGGTAGAAATGGCTAAAGACTAGGAAGTCTTCGAAATTGGGTGCTAGATACCAAGTAGGAGATGAGAAATCTATTCATATCCGGGCATCGGATGGCTCCATAGCATTTCCCTTCTCAGAATATATTTTTCAATCAGGATGGCTCCATAACGGAGCCATCGGATGGCTCCATAGCATTTTCCTATATCCGGGATCCTCCTTGGTTGCCTAATAATTCATTTTTTAAGCTTGTATGTCAGTTTCAAGGGGATAGGAGTAGAGTGAATTGGGTCTAGGACTTAATAGGTTTGAGAGGAAAAGGATGGGATCTTCAAACTTTTATTAACCCTCACTACAAAAATAAGGGTGAATTCCAACAAAAAATTCCAACAGAAAAAATTTCCATTGGAAATTCCAATGAACATTCCAACAACATAATTTTATGTTGGAATATTCCAACTGATATTAAAACTGTTGGAAAATTCAACTGAAAAAACACTTGAAAAATATTTTGAAGGTTTCCAATGTAAATATACCGTAGGAAATAACACTCACATGTGTCGTACTACTCTGAAATAACACTCATATACGCTTTGGAAATAACCCTACTCTGAAATGAGAAAAATTTCCCAATCAAATTCGATAGCAGTTGAAAACTCATCATCGATCCATTGAAAATCCTCGCCGTTCTCCATCAATTAGAACCAGCCAAACGTCGTCAATTGGGAGCAGCAATTAGCCGCCAATTGAAAATTCGTCGTTGTTCTCCATCAATTCGAAGCAGCAGATCGCCGTCAATTAGGAGCAGCAATTCGCCGTAGATTAGAAGCATATCTTCGCATCAATTAGAAGCATTTGTTCGCCGTCAATCCCGCTGTTGTTCTTTATCAGTTGCCTTAGGTAACTTCGATTTCTCAAGCTTTTTGAAGTTGGATGTAATTTGATTAACTCCTTGAATTGATTTTTCAAGTGCGTGTGTGCATATACATACCTTATCACAGTTACATATATCACTAGCAACAATATAATAGTGATTAAGTTCCACAAAGTGATTAGGAATAATGCATAAACTTATATAGTGTCAATTTTGTGTGGAATTTGTACTTTCTTTGTTGACAATCGTGAGTTAAGCACTTGAGTTGGAGGATGTCGTCGTCCTTTCTCCTGATGTCCTCGTGAGTTGAAACGAGAGCTGCCTCCAGCTCGAGAGTT